TATATATATATATATATATATATATATATATATATATATATATATCTGTTTCTATCTCTCACTCTCTTTGTTTGTCTCTGCCACGGTTTTTGTTTCCCTCCCTCTCCTCTGGGTGTGTATGTTTTGTGTGTATGTGTGTGTGTGTGTGTGTGTGTGTGTGTGTGTGTGTGTGTGTGTGTGTGTGTATGTGTGTGTGTGTGTGTGTGTGTGTGTGTGTATGTGTGTGGTATGTGTGTATGTGTGTGTATGTGTGTATGTGTGTGTGTTATGTGTGTATGTGTGTGTATGTGTTCCTCTAACTCTTTTACTCTTTCCTCTGTCTGTGGTGCCTCTACTCTTCCCACTACTACAACCCACACACGTGCCTACACATTCACTCACTCACACCCACGTGCACGCCACAGTGACCCGCGAATGTTTTCCTTCTTAATCACGTGATCACAAGGGCTGATTGGTGATGCAACATGGCGGGAAAAACTCACGTGATCCACAGTCATTTCATTGTACTTTTGGCTATACGCTCTTATTATACTCTTCTTAGTGGAGAGAGAGAGAGAGAGAGAGAGAGAGAGAGAGAGAGAGAGAGAGAGAGAGAGAGAGGGAGGGAGGGAGAGAGAGTGGGGGAGGGAGAGAACAAATAAAGTGTGTGTGTGTGTGTGTGTGTGTGTGTGTGTGTGTGTGTGTGAGAGAGAGAGAGAGAGAGAGAGAAAGAGAGAGTGAGAGAGAGATCTCTCTTTTTTTAAAGTTCTAAATAACATCTTTTCGCCTTTGGGCTAATCACGTCACAAAACATTCTTTTTATTTATAGCTGATTTCAGTACAGGTAACTTGAAATATGGACTTTTCCGTTGGAGGTGTTCTAATGCATTCTTTGAGCTTTAAAAAAAAATTGTATAAAAGTGGAAATGGTCCAACTGATGAAAGCAGTCTTAGTTCTAACAAAGGAAAGCAATACATTACATTCAGAGTACCACGGAGTGGCTAACATTACCCTATAAATCCCCAAGGCGCCGCTTTGCGGACACTATCTTCCGGTCTTGGCGCTCATATATGACCTTAGGCAGTTGCGAGCGCCGTAAAACCTCAACTAAAAATTAAAAATATCTTCAGGTCAATACTCCACATCAGAATTGATTTTGCCATAGGCCTATTTCAAAGTGAAAGTAGCTAATCTGTTGCGAATTTTGATGGCGGCTCCGTGGCGTTACGGTTTTTCACCCCCAACACAGGTGCATCAACATCCACGCCCACGAATTGTTTTCCCTCCAAATCACGTGATCACAAGGGCTGATTGGTTTGGTGATGCAACATGGAGGGAAAAACCCACCCTATGTACAGATAGTTCATTGTCCTTCAACCGCCCATCACCTAGACCACAGAGGACCACACCTTTCCCCTCCCTCCCCCCTCCCTCCCTACTCCCTCCCCCCTCCCTCCCCATACAGACTATTATTATTGGGGTCTCAAATAGGCCCTTCAGCTTCTTTGCATAACAAAGGGCTGCTTAGAACTGGCTATCAATTTGGCGTCAGGTAAACTTGAATCCTTCCATAACATTCTCACACACACACCACACACACACACTCTCTCTCTCTCTCTCTCTCTCTCTCTCTCTCTCTCTCTCTCTCACACACACACACACACACACACACACATACACCCAGAGAGAGAGCACACACCCCCCCCCCCCACACACACACAGAGAGAGAGAGAGAGAGAGAGAGAGAGAGAGAGAGAGAGAGAGAGAGAGAGAGAGAGAGAGAGAGAGAGAGGAAGGCACAACGCTTTCCCCTTTTTAGTTCTCAATAACTTCCTTTCGCCCTTGGGCTAATGGCGTCGCCGAATATTGTTTTCGTTCAAAACTGAAGTCAGGGCAGGTGGATGGACAGTTGGACTTTACTGTTGGAGATTTTCTTCAATTACATCTCTATTTAAAAAAGTGTCTATGAAAGTGAAAATGGTCCACTGATGAAAGCAGTCTAAGTTCTAACAAAGGAAAGCAATACATTACATTCGGGGCACCACAAAGTAGCTAACATCACACTATAAATTAAATACCCCTAGGCGTCGCTTTGTGGACACTATCTTCAGGTCAATACTCCACATCAAAATTGATTTTGCCATAGGCCTATTTTAAAGTGAAAGTAGCTAGGCTAATCTGTTGTGAGTTTGGTAGTCTCCGTGGTGTTACGGTTTTTCACCCCACACAGGCCCAGTCACACCACTGAATAATATTCTTTTTTAAATTCAAAACTGAAGTCAGCGCAGGTGAAATGACAATTGGACTCTTCTATTGGATATGTTCTATACTATTACATCTGTAAACATTTTGTATAAAAGTGAAAATGGTCCAACTGATGATAGGTGTCTAAGTTCTAACAAAGGAAGGCGATGCATTACGTTCGGAGCACTACGAGGAGTGGCCACCATTACGCTATAATTTATACATTTATGTATCCCCAGGCGCCGCTTTACAGACACTTTATTCTTCAGGTCAATACCTACTCATCAGTATCAATTCTGCAATAATAAATTTAAAGGAAAAGTAGCTAATCTGTAACAATGACAATCTTTATTCATCTCACTGGGAGAAAATTATCTTCGTCCTTTACAGTGGTAGTGGATGTTACAAAGGTTAGGCGGTAGATTTTGGGAGCTACTCCGTACGTGGTGTTTCGGTTGTTGTTGTTGTTGTTTTTAATCCCGCAACAAAAAGTGGATTATCGGTAGCTGCTCCGTGGTGCAGCCATTATAATTTCTTAATCTCTGTCGAGGGATGAAATCCCATACATGACACATGAAGCTACACACATGCAGAAATTCCAGCTGCCATAATACAACAGTTGATTGTTTGTTCCACTGTCTGTCTGTCTGTCTGTCTGTCTGTCTGTCTGTCTGTCTGTCTGTCTGTCTGTCTGTCTGTCTGTCTGTCTGTCACCCCCTCCCCCCACCTCCCATCTCCCCAAGCTACGCCTCTGGGGGTACACACATGGTCATGGACGCCCGAACACAGACGCTTATTTCTGTTTTCATTCACACGAACTCTTAGGACCGACACAAGACGCAATGGGACGTAATGGGCCACGCGAAGGACCTTAGAACAGTAATATAACCTCCTTGGTCCACACGGAAGGCAATCCCCCAATACTTTGTTCACCAATTTTTGTGTGGAGATTCATTCACAGTTGAAGACAAATCTTAATATTCATCTCACAGGGAGAAATTTGTCTTCGTCGTTTACAGTTGCAGTGGATGTTACAAAGGTTAGGTAGATTTTGGTAGCTACTCCGCGGTGTTTAGGGTAAAAAAAAAATCCCACAGCAAAATGAATTATATGGGTAGCTATACCGTGGTGCAACCATTATAATAATTTCTTAATTAATCTCTGTCGAGGGATGAAATCACATACATGGCACATGGAGCCACACACATGCAGAGATTCCAGCTGACATAATAATGTTATGATAATATAATTAGATCTATTGCAACAGCTGATTGTTTGTTCCACCATCTGTCTGTCTGTCTGTCTGTCTGTCTGTCTGTCTGTCTGTCTGTCTGTCTGCCTGCCTGCCTGCCTGCCTGCCTGCCTGCCTGCCTGTCTGACACCCCTCCCTCCCATCTCCCCAAGCTATGCCTCCGGGGCTACACACACGCATGGACCCCCGAACACAGACGCTTATTTTTGTTTTCATTCACTCGAACTCTATTGGGCCGTCACAAGACGCAATGAGACGTAATGGGCCACGACAAGGACCTTAGGAGGACAATAATATAACTAAGTGGCTATTCGGACTCGAGTCTAAATAGCCACCTGTGGCTATTCGGACTCAACTCCACAATGCGCTTTACTTTGAATGGCTGACTTTTGTTCTCTTTGGAAGGGTTTTAACTTTTTTCTTCAACTAGACGTCCAATTGATCAATGACTATGTCTTTCTCGTCAAATAAAGCTGGTTTAGACTACCAATTGATAATTATAATCCTTTGTTGCTCTGAAACTTTGATTTTCAAAATTTTTTTCACTGCTTGGAGCTCAGATTTCAATTTTCTTGTTTGTTTTTGTTGTGTAGTATTTCGGATTTTGTAACTGCTGTTCACTTTTGACGTCACTAATACTTTTCTTAATTATTGGGTCGAAAATTTTGGCCAAATCGTAGAAACCGAGGATCAAGGCCAAGGTCGGATTGCCTGTCCACTTCACATCCGGTGCACGCATTGGAGTTTGAGTCCGAATAGCCATGGTAGGCTATTCAGACTCGAGTCCGAATATACGCTGATAACTTAATTTAACCCTCTTGGTCCACCCGGAGGGCAGTCGCCAATACGTCATTCACCAATTTTTTGAGGACATTCATGCATTCTTAGTATTATGTGCTCCGGAACGTGGTAAAAAAAAAAAAAAACCTTACGCCCCCCCCCCTCCCCTTCCTTCCCCCAAAACGTAATTCTTCGTCACATAGCGAAACATTATACCTGTATCGTCAAACCGAGCACGGTTGGGTTGGGGTATCAAGGGTTGACGACCCTCACAAAGAAAAAAAATCAGGAACAAACAAATTATGCATAAACCACAGACACCACTATTATAGGCCTTCATCGTACCCCACCCCCTAACCGGCCACTTAAAGGTTAATTTGTGTTACAAATTAGTCTACCTTGAGAGTTCAATACAAACAACTGGGCAGCTGTCCTAAGTGGGGAAAAAAAGCTTCATTAGAAGGGTATACAATGACATGTAGAACCGACATGCATGCCTCCACCCTCACCCACCCACCACTCCTCCTTGAATTGTTAATTCATAATAATGAGCAAAGTCAGGATACGGAGCAGTCTGCGTTGTCAATTTATTTTGTATTCTTTGACTTTTTCCGAATAGATGATCAATGAAGGCCATAAAAACACGCGCACACACACTCCTTACTTACACACCCCTCACTTACACACTCACAAACTACATGTACATACAGACACACTCATACTCATACGTAATACATGCACACACACACACACACACACACACACACACACACACACACACACACACACACACAATAAAAAAGTGTGTTACGTCAACAGTCCCCAAGGTCACAGACACAAACAGGTCATGGTCATATCGGTTATGCCACTTGTTGTTCCCCTTGACTGCCGCCAGACACCAACATTGTCATGTACCCAGACGCTCAGAGTAAAAACCTATATTATAGTCAAATGTACCAATCGAACACAGCCATGACAGGCGCTGACAAAATTGACCTATCGGTGAGAGGTCGGAGTTCGATGACCTGTTGGGGGGCTGGGGGCTTGGGTGCGTGTTTGTGTGTGGGGGTGTCAAGATGACTATAGTCTATAGTCAATTTGCTTATTGACAGTTGATGCATTTTGTGGTTACGTTACACCCCCCCCCCCTCCGGCAAAGTGTCTTTGTGGGCCCGTGAGCCCTTAGGGGGTCAATTGTGTAACATTTTGTAATAAAGCTGCAGTCTTTTATGAAACTGAAAAGGCCTATATATAGGGCCTACAAGCGAAGTGGTAGTTCAGCTGCAGGCCTGCGAAAAAGAGCAAGTTCGTTAGAGGATTATAACTTATAACAAAGACATATTGGGCTATCGCGTCACGCTGTGACAGCTCTCATATGGGTGGTGTTTTGTGACAAGGTGTATAATATTTTTTGCCACCGTCACGAGCCATTGAGAGACAATGGTGTGTTCCCAGAATAGAGTATAAACAACTCCGGGCAGTTGCAATTTGTCAGTGTAAGAATAATAAGATGCGGATCGAAGCGGACTGCAGGCCTAGTCAGAATATGGGAAATCACAAGACTGATCAGGCCCCCCACCCCCCAAACCCTCCCAACAACAACAACAAACAAACAAACAGAAACAACAACAACAACAAAAAAGCCCCCCCCCCTCCCACACACACTCACAAAAAACAACAAAAAACAACCCCCAAAACAATCAGATAACCCACGAACGAGGACCTTACATGCCCACGAAGCAAGTCGAAGTGTGAAGGTAAAATGGACATTTTAGTACATTATATGCTACAATTGTTTTAATTCTGCTCTAAAGAATTTGTAGAATCTGCCCCCCCCCCTTTTTTCGACCCATCCCAACCCATCCGTTTATTTATACACAGATAAAAGGTAGAAATGTTTAAAGACAAAATGTGAAGAAAAAAAACCCCCATTGGATCCAACAAAGCAATCAAATTCAGTTTAACCTGACAGACGAAGCAATAACTTTTTTTTTTAGTTTGAAATGGCTTCACACTTGACGAAACTATTCCTTAAATATAAGAAAGAGTACGAGGATGGGAGCTAAAATAGTAACATTGTCAACGACTCACGAAAAGACATCCAAATCCACTTAGAAAATTCCGTGATCGTCTTGGCCCCGGGCCTACCGGTACTTCATTTTTATGAGAATGGTAACTTCAACTTATGAATAATACGGAGAATTGAAACAAAGACGACTGCTTTCTCTGCGCATGATCGTTGAAGAAAAATAGAAAACTTACTGAACTTCCTGTTAAAAGAACGAGCTCAGCGGTCCCGTTGCCGACTGTTGTTTATGTGTGTAAGTTCTGTGGAGAAAATAACCGGCCCAAGATGGCAAGTGTGTCGTACCACATCGCAAATTTGCTTGAGAAGGTAATAATCTTTTATGACATGCTTCCATTCTCTTTTACTTTTAGTGCTTGTCGATTAGCAGTTTCAGTTTTTATCCCCAGCCATGATGTGCCGAGTCAGAGTCAGACTTGACTAATAAATACAAGTGGAGAGTAAAAAAACTACAAAGACTTCAAAGAGTAGGCCCTTAAGTGACTAAATAAAGAGTACGAGTGTAGAATCTAGATCTGGCAAGTGAGTAATGCTGCTGACAGTGGTAAGTGGCCTGAACAATGACACACAAGAATAGACGAATCTGTGAGGGACACTCATCTTGACCGACTGCAATCTTTTGAAAGTATGAAAGCCTCTCTGACGAGTCTGTCTCTTGTCTTGTAAAACACAGTTTTGATTTAGATCTAGATCTAGATATATCTAGATCTAGACTAGATCTAGAATCTAGAAAGAATTCAGATTAGATTCTCTTCTTGTGAAAGTGAAGTGTGCTCTTTTTTACACTTACTAGATTGGGTAAGATAGCCAGATGAGATAATAATAGCAGTATAAATAAGTAGGCCCATGACATGAGTATGATGGGGATCAGGGGTGGTTCGTTAGGAAGTGATTATTCACATCGGGGAAGGACTTCCGTAACGAGCGACCACCCCAACAAACACAATAAAGAAGAGACCTAACCCTACCCCAAACCTAAACCCTAACCCTATCCCCTATCCCCTATCCCCCTGCCTTTGTTTTACGGCCACCTCTATTCTCACCCGGAGTGAGAATAGTGCAGGCGAGTCTTGTGGCTATTCTCACCCGGTGCGCGTTCACCCTAAACCACAGAATTCTACACTGTGATCACAGAAAAATTGTAGAATTCTGTGCCGTGAACAAACGTTCCATTACAACTGTAGCCTACTAAAAGCGTACAATTTTGTCTGTGGGTAGTGGAGAAAGAGAGAGAGGAGTAGCGCGAGAATTTCCGGGCAAACAAAATGGCGACCCGCGTAGTTCGGCTCGATTCGAAAAGTTAAATAGCCGTAGCATCTTTGTAGACAACCAAATTAATTTACTTTTGTGTTTTAACATCATTTTATAACTTTGTTTTGGTCAATTTGATCGTCCACACCGATAGACAGTATTCATAAAGAGACAGAGAGAGAGAGAAAAGGGGCGGAGTTGATCTTGCGAGAACTTCCGGGCGGGTGAGAATAGCCACTTTCTTGTTTTACTGTCTCATAGTGGTTGCTCGATTTAATTTTATTCACACCGGGTGTGCGCTTAAGAAAAGAAATAATTCTATTCGCACAGGGTCGAGCCTACGTTGATTTTGGACCTAGTTTGTCGCTCCCGGGTATCCCACCTTTTGGCAAAGGCTGTATGTTAAAACAACTGGACTCTAGATCTATATTATAACTTGTTTCAGATTTAGGGTTAAAGTAAGCATGCACTCATCTCTCTCTCTCTCTCTTTCTCTCAAGGCGCAAGGAAAATAGAAAACGAAAAAAAGAGAGATTTGAGAGATTGACACAATACACAACTTGAATTCCAAGTTGAGTTGGGTTTTTTTTGTGTATCGCATTGCACAATTAGAATTAGAGCTAGATCTATCCCTACCAAAGACAGAAAACAAGATTGTTCACTCAGCCCAAAAAGTGTTCGCAGAAGTCAGCGCATTGCTTCAGATAGCGCTGGAGTCTTTGTTTTGAAGCTCTCCTTTCTCCTGAGGAAGAATAGGATTAGTACAGTCTGTTAATTTCACTTTTATTATTTTTCACACAAGTAGGGTCTGTTTGCAAAGTCCGCACTTTTTCGAAGAGGGCGCCACCAAATTTTGAGGACACTTTTTTATTTGGCTCAAAAAGAGGAGTGAACTATCTTGTTATCCATGGTCTTTGTCCCCACGGAAATGAGGGGGAAAAAATGAGGAAATTAATGCTAGATCTAGATAATTTCCATCCTTCTTTTCAAACGCCCTGTGCCAATAATATGTTGTAGTATTCACACACCCTGTGCGAATAAGATTTCACAGTATTCACACACCCTGTGCGAATAAAATTTCATAGTATTCGCACACCCTGTGCGAATTACTACAGCCGGTTCGTCAACTGAGCAAGACGGGTGGAGCTGGTCACTTTTTTTCGACTTGATAGTGAGATTTATAGGCTATAGGCTGAGATAGCCTATAGGCTATACAGGCTAGTTAGGCTAGGCCCTAATAATAGACCAAATTGATAATTTTCATTTTTGTTAAAAGATGTGTGGTTGGTTGGCAGTGCTCTGGTGTGGTTTACTCCTTCTCTTTCCTATCATTCTGACATCTTATCTCTCCTTTTTTTGTGTTTGTTACTCTCTTGTAACTTCTAATCTTCAGCACTTATCATGATCTCATATTATATTTTAATAATTGTTTTGCAAGTGTTTTAAAACTCGTACTAAAACTAAATTAAGTCCAAACTAACATTTATCAACATATAAAAAGCACTCTGCCTATTTGAATGTGCTCAAAGAGACAAAAAATTTTCAATGCAATGTTGTCGTGTTACAGATACTTGATCCTACGTCTTTTTTATCAACCCTGGCTAGATCTAGCAGTTTTTCATGAAGCCTAGGGTAAACTGCTTCCTATGTTCATGTCATGATATGAGACAGTCATCAAATCATGATATGAGACAGTCATTCATGATATGAGACAGCAACCTGGGTGGAAAAGCCAGAAGAATATCCAACCAGCTGATTACTGGCACAATCAGCACACCAACCCTTTTATGGAATCCTAGAGAGGAAGGAGGAGCAGATATATATATATATGATGATCATGATGTCTATTCTCCAACCAACTCTGAACTCAAGTAACTGATTCCATTCCTGAAGGACAGTCCGAGGCTGAAGATTTTTCTCTAACATTTGAACATTTTTATTGCTTAGATGATGTCTTCGGACAAGGACTTCAGGTTCATGGCCACAAATGACTTAATGGCAGAGTTGCAGAAGGATTCCATTAAGCTTGATGATGACAGCGAGCGCAAGGTTTGTAATTTTCTCACAGCTAATATTTACTGTGGTAAAATGATTAACACAGTATTAGAGTCAGCTTACAAGCCTGTATATATATGTTATGTTTGTAATTTTCTCAATTAGCTAATATTTACTTTGGTAAAATGATAAACACAGAATTAGTTTGCTTACAAGTCTGTATGTTTCGAATGTAGTCCCTGGTATATCTGTAGTGAATTCAGGTTGTCTACCGTTGTCTAAAGATCAGTTTGATCCTTTCCAGTATCAGCTGAAATATATTGACACAAAATGATCTGTTGTATATTAATTTACAGTGGTAATTTTGGAAGGATTGTTTCTGGATTCAGTTGCAACTCAAAATAAACTTACGGAGCAGGGGGACAAAATCCCTGTATCTTAAGTAACTCTTATTGATCTCTGGAGGTTATTTTAAAAAAATAATTTACAGTAGCCAATTTTTCTAGAAAACTTTAACTGCATCTTGTGGAGCAAAGCCATACTAGACTGTCTACTCAAGTTAAAGTGGTGCCCATATGTTTCTCGCTTACAGGTTGTAAAGATGCTCTTGAAGTTGCTGGAGGACAAGAATGGTGAAGTTCAAAATTTGGCTGTAAAATGGTGAGATTTTGTTTACAATTATTAATGTTTAATTATCTCTGGGAAAGATTCAACAGAGCTTATAGAGTCCATACAAATTTAAAGGCACCTTGTGACAGGACGTGACAGCATAACTGATAGAATGTCTGTTCAGTAAATGAAGTCAATCAAGTTTTTTTTAAAACAAGGTACAAGATCATGCTAGCAAATGGCTGTTCCCTTTTCTAAAAATTCAGCTATCACTGTCAATCAAATATCGATTGCTGAGTGCAAGAAGTGACTAAATCCACTTTTGGTTGAAATGAAATAATTGATATTGGTAGTGAGATTTTAAGCTGCTCTTTTATCCCTGTAAACATCTAAGCTTAATTCGCTATCAGGATATGAATGTTTCTTTTTTGACTATGTTAAAGAGATTTCAATATCGTCAAAATTTCAAATTCGTTTTTCTTGAAACTGAAAAGTGGATATCGTCACTTCTTGCGCTCAGCCGCCTATATATGGTGCTAGATTATAATATGTGTGTGGAGGTTTTTGCATTAAATTCTATAAATAATTCTCTATCTGTGCACAGCTTAGGTCCGCTGGTCAGCAAGGTCAAGGAGTTTCAGGTGGAGACGATAGTGGACACGTTGTGCAGCAACATGCTGTCGGACAAAGAACAGCTCAGGGATATTTCCAGTATCGGTACGTTACGTTTACAGCTGCTTGTCTTTCCGAGTCACTGCTCATACAGGTCACCCTCGTTTGTTTTTCTTTGATGATTGACCGACTGTAAAGCCGATTTAAGATTTGCCAAATGCATAGTTTCTCACGGTCGCTTTTTAAAAAATTATTTTTTAAAAATTGCTTTTCTTCTAACGTTGGTGGTGATTTAAAACACAGGCTTGGTTGTTAAGTTAAAAGAAACACTTACAGGTTTAAAAGTGCCAACCGTTGGAAAATATACTTTACTGCTGGATAATCCAAACATAGTGACTATTTTTTTATCTCTATTCTAAAGCTACAGATGATGTAATTCAATTCAATTCATTTTTTAATTGGGAGTGCCAATTTTTTGTGTATTTTAGATATCAAATGTGTTCAGTGAAGAAAGAAAAAAACCAAACAAATAGAAATTGGAATGGATGTTACACGCAGTGTACAAGAAATTTGACTGGAAAGTCCTCCTTAACTCTGTAGAAATGAGTGTGTCCTCGAGTCCTTAGATTAATGACTAACTTTGTGGGAAAGAGACAATTAAAAAGAAAGGTCAAGTGTGTTCAAACTTCTTGATGGCTAGAGCTCATCTTCATTATTTTGTCAAAGATACAACAGATACATTTTTACCGCCTTTTCTAGGATTGTTTCCTCAACTTTGTACGAGGGTACCTGGTATGGGTAAGTTGCAGGATTCTTGTTTTTTTTTCCCGTTCAGAAGCCCTCATCCGTAAGTTGTGAGATTTCTCATGCTAATCCTTCATGTGAGATATTTCTAATACAGGAAAGTTCTGGACTTTTCACTCTAATCTTTTTGTCATTTCGGATTTTCAGTTAGTTGTTTTCACATAATGCTAATGTTCATGACATTTTTCTAGTGTTGGTGAGATTTTTTTCCTCCCCTCATGCTAATATTAAGAAGCCTTTAAAATGTTTGTGGTATGAGTGTATTACTTGTTTGTTTTCTCATTCTTGTCTGGATGAGTGAGTGGGAGTCACTTTTTTGTGTGTTTTGGTCTTGAGAGGATTCAACTCCACAAAGTGAGCTAAAAACGAAGGAAGATCGGACCGCAGGAAGTGTGCAATGGGTGCATTGTCCTTTGTCCTCTCTTTTGGCAAATGATTTAGCCTTCTTTTTAATGGATGTTCTGAGGAATATTTGAATATGAGGCGAGAGGGTGGTTTATTTTGTTGTTGTTGTTGGGTTTTCTTTTTTACAACCAGGAATGTGTATAGAACCACAATCAACGCTGACATTGTCTTTTCCTTCTTTTTTGTTTGTTTGTTTGTTTATGACACGTTGTATGTATGCTTCTTTTTGTTCTTTCTGCAGGTTTGTCTTGTTCCGTCTTTCTCTTTCTTCTCTTTTGGAGTGGGTGGTTGGCGGGTGCTCTGGTGTGGTTTGCTTCTTCTTTCCTATTAAACATCTATGGTCCTTATCTCCCCTTCTTCGTTTTTATGTTTGTTACTCTCTTGTAACACCACTAATCTTCTGGCGCTCATATGACCTTATCATGCCTTATGCAGGTAGGAGCGCCGTAAAACCTCTACTAAAACTAAACTAAACTTCTCTTTTGGTGACACATTGTATGTGGGATTCTTTTTGCTCATTGTGCAGGTTTGAAGACAGTGATCACAGAGCTGCCCCCATCCTCCACGACCCTTGCTGCCAGCATCTGCAAGAAAATCACCACAAGACTGACCAATGCTATTTCCAAGGTGAGTTGTGCTGAGTTCTTTGCACCGTGATTTGGAAGAGCTCATTGCTGTGCTGTAGTGTTCTCCTTCTTTTGTTTGTTTGTAACACTCTTGTAACACCTCTAGTAGGTGGTCGGAGGATGCCACTGGTAGGTCCTTCTTCTTTACTTCCCCTCTATTGTTTCTGTCTGTCTGTCTGTCTGTCTGTCTGTCTGTCTGTCTGTCTGTCTGTCTGTCTTACTTTTGTGGGTGTTTGGTGGGTGCTCTGGTGTGGTTTGCTCCTTCTTTCCTATAAAACATCTATCGTCTTTATCTCCCCTCCTTCTTTTTTGTGTTTGTTACTCCCTTGTAACTCCTCTAATCTTCGGCACTTATATGACCTTATTGTGTTGCAAGTGCCGTAAAACTCTTACTAAAACTAAAACTAAACTGTCTTACTTTTTCACAGCACTAAATGACCCTGATTGTGTCGATGTGTTTCTCCTTACTCAATCGAACGAACACAAAGTAGCACCTCTAATCTATGGCACTTTTACGATATGTCCTGATCCTGTTGCAAGTGCTGTAAAACTCTTACCACAAAAAAACAAAACAAACAACAACAACTAAAGAGTTATGAAAGCTATCAGTTGACTTGTATTTGAATGTCTCTTTGTGTGTGTGTAGCTAATTTATGTTTTAAGTTGTTTTAAAAGAATCTAGAAATTGCAATTTGGGTGACCACTTTTGACTTTGGCACTTATATGACTTTATTGTTTTGCAAGTGCTGTAAAACTCTTACTAAAACTAAACTAAAAACTATGTCTTTTTGCAACTCTTGTTATTTCTGTTGTCCTGTTTTCCCAGCAAGAGGATGTGTCTGTACAGCTGGAGGCCCTGGATATTCTGGGAGATCTGCTCAGCCGATTTGGTGGTGAGTTAGTTAATTAATTAATTAATTAATTCGTTCATTCATTCATTCATTTGTTCATTCATTCATTCATTCAGAGGCTGTTTGGTGTCTTCCTCAACTCTTTGAGGACGTAGTTCAACACACTCTGTAGAACATTACAGCAACTGCAACGAACCTGCACTTATTACTACATGGCATTGGACAGAAAGGCGAGGTCCCAGCTTTTGCTGGATTGATAACAACAACAACAACAACAACAATATTGAGGATGTAGTCGACACATATGTCTGATCATTAGGAGACCAGAAATATTGCGGCTCATTTCGTGCTGTCATGCACAAATCAGAAACATGAATTTGCATATTTCATCGTATGCTTGCCTTTTTAGTAAATTTTAAATAAACACAAGGGAGAAAATCTGAATCGCAATCCACAAATGGAGATATTGGCCAAAAATCGACACCAGGGTCAACTTTGTAGTTTTTCTATTGGTGCCTCATTTTCAAAGTATAACATGCCTTTTATTATTTCGTAATTATAAATTGTAAAAATTTTACCTATCAACGTGATGTATCTTATTTACATAGGGCTCGATCCGAGAAGTAACTCATTTTGTCAGCACGCTACACACGGGCAGTATTGCATACAGACGCTAGTCATTATTGGCAACCTTTGGGATGTGTCTGTATGCAATACTGCCTACGTACGCAATAGTATGTATCTGTATCAGTGGATTGAAGGCGGCTCGTGTGTTTTTTGTTTTCAGGTCTGCTGATCAGCTTCCACATCACCATCAAGCAAGCTCTGCTGCCACAGCTGGCCAGCCCCAGACTGGCCGTCAGGAAAAGGGCCATTATTGCCATAGGTAAAAAAAACTACCTCCCTCTTCCGGGCCTTTGATGGTGTAGTTTGTATGTAATAATAATAATAATAATAATAATAATAGTAATAATAATCACATATAATAATAATAAATTGCTTTTATAGCGCTCTATCCCATATGAGTATAAGCCGTGAGCGCTTTACATCGATCACATGATCACTGAGCGATTCACACAAGATAAAATATTTCACAGTAACGAGAAAACCAGTTCAACCACATGAAGAAGAACTTTCACATCCATACATTAATTATGTACTTGTAAGGACAGCAGAAAAAACAAAACTTATCAGCACTTATTAACACCCTTTAACTAATTATTGAACAAATTTAGCCTTGAGCAATCGCTTAAATGTATTGAGATTTGTTTTTTTCTCTGAGATCCTGGGGCAAGGAATTCCAGATTTTAGGGCCCAAAAATGGGAAACTTTTCTGTTGTTTCTGTCTGTCTGTCTCACTTTTCCCAGCACTAAATGACCCTTTTTGTGTCAATGTGCTTCTCTTTACTCAAACAAACACTTCTAATCTTCGGCACTTCTATGACCTTATTGTGTTGCAAATGTCGTAAAACTCTTACTAAAACAAAAAACAAAAATGTCTGTGTCTTGACTGGTGTGTGTGCGTGCGTGTTGAGCATTTTGCTAGTGTGTGTTTGTATGTTTTTAGACAGGTCATTTGTGTAACGTCTATGTGTCGACTACTGGTGTTGTGTATGTGTGTGTGTGTGTGTGTGTCTGTGCGCATGCGTGTGTTGGTGTGTACATTTTTAGACAGGTGGTGTGTAACGTCTGTGTCGTGTTGACTGGTGTTGTGTGTCCCCCCCCACAGGCCACCTGGTGATGAGCTGCAGCACGGCGTTGTTCAACGAGCTCATCGAGTTCCTGCTCACCGAGCTCACCAAGAACACGTCCACCTCCACAACACGCACTTACATACAGTGTGTCGGCGCCATCAGGTGGGTAACACGCGTCGCTACCCTCAGAATGACAGAGTTCTATCTGCTCGGTATAACTTATTTTTGAGAAATATGACGTAAAAATGTTGAATTGCAAAGTACTATCTGCTCGGTGTAACCTAGTTTTGAGAAATACTACGTCAAAGATTCTGAGCTCCGCAACGTGTGAAACTTTTTCGAATGCAATTCTTTGAATATCTTGGTAACGACTCCGAATTATCTTTAGAGTTTGATAGAGCAGATAGAGCATTTGCTTTCTGACCACTTGGCCTTGGTAACTCAAAATGGTAAAAAATATCGGATAGATCTCTGTCACTTCGAGGCATTCTGTGTGTGTGTGTGTGTGTATGTAAAACCTGCCTAGTACTCAGATAAAATTGGAGCCCTCTGGGTTTTTTTTCCTTTTGTGGAAAAACCTCGATAAAATTTGTAGAAAAATCAGGGTTATTTTTTTTCTCTTGAATTTTGTTTCCATGGGTCGTACGCAACTTTTTGTAAATGATGTGAGACCTTAATTGTGAGGTGGTGTGGTGGAGAAGAACACTGACAATAAGTCCTGTCCTCCTAGTGGGTGGTTGGTGAGTGTTCTGGTGTGGTTTGCTCCTTCCTTCGTCTCAAACATTTATCGTCCTTATCTCTCTTTTCCGTCTTTTCTTTGTGTTTGTTACTCTCTTGTAACACTTCTAATCTTCGGCACTTTGCATGACCTTATTGTGTATAGCGGCGAGTGCTGTAAAACTCTTACTACTAAAACTTAAAAAATATGTCCTCGAGTGAGTGAGTCGTTGCTGATTGTGCCAATTTGTTCGTTTGTCTGTGTCCCGCCAGTCGGCAGGCTGGAAGCAGATTCGGAGAGTACCTGGACAAGATGGTGCCGCTGATCGTCAAGTTTTGCAAGACGGATGACGATGAGCTGACGGAGTTCTGCCTGCAGGCCTTCGAGTCCTTCGTGCGGCGATGCCCCAAGGAGGTGTCCAACTTCATTCCAGATGTGAGTGTTGTACCTAATGTACTGGGCTATTATATTAGCCCCCCGCTCCCACAAGGTTGTGGGTTCGAACCCCATTAGGGACAATAGGGAAACAAGGTTGTGTCATTGCGAAAGTCACTTTACTAAAAATGTCCTCAGTTTATCATCAACATTTTTGTTGTTGTTATTATTATTATTATTATTGTTCTTCTTCTTATTATGGTTATTAATAATATTATTCCTTCTTCTTCTTCTTCTTCTTCTTCTTCTTCTTCTTCTTCTTCTTCTTCTTCTTCTTCTTCTTCTTCTTCTTCTTCTTCTTCTTCTTCTTCTTCTCCTTCTCCTCCTCCTCCTCCTCCTCCTCCACCTCCTCCTCCTCCTCCTCCTCCTCCTCCTCCTCCTTAACACCATGACTGTTATTATTATTATTACTATTATTAATCTCCCCCCCCTCCCCAGATCATCAGCATCTGCCTGAAGTACGTGTGCCACGACCCCAACTATAACTACGACGACGATGAGGACGAGGACATGGACACAGACCTGCAGGACGAGGACGACGATGAGTAAGAGTTGTCTGCCCCCTATTGTAACATCGTAGTTACTGCCCCTGTGTGGTTTTTGTTTTTTTGTTTTTTGGTCGAAGTGTTAACAGCATTTGCGTTGACTTGTGGTTGTAACGTTGGTGTTGCTGTCGGGTGGGGTGTAATGGTTAGAGGGCAGAGGGAGGAAGAGAAGGGGGTAGGGAGAGTGAGAGTATGAGAGAGAGAGAGAAAGAGAGAGAGAGAGAGAGAGAGAGAGGGGGGGGGGGGATGAGAGAAAGAAAAAGATGAGAGAGACAGTATTGAACCATTTATTGTCTCCCTTGTTGTGTGAATGAGTCGGAGGACGAGTACAGCGATGATTATCTATCTTATCTTGTCTTATCTTATTTATTGGCTCCCTTGTTGCACCAGTGAGTCCCTCTCTGACAAAGCATTTTCTTACCTTTTCTCATCTCATCTTATCATATCTCATCTTATCTTTTGTCTCCCTTGCTGCACCAGCAAGTGGGAGGACAAGTACAGTGATGATTAAGTGACTCCCTCTGGGACAAAGTATTGTCGCATCTTATCTCATTTATCATTCCCCCTTGCCGCGCCAGCGAGTCGGAGGATGAGTACAGTGATGATTATCATATCTTATCATCTCCTCTCATCTTATCTTATTGTCTCCCCTTGCTACACTAGTGAGTCGGAGGACGAGTACAGTGACGACGACGACATGAGCTGGAAGGTGCGGCGCTCGGCGGCCAAGTGCCTGGAGGCCGTGGTCAGCACGAGACATGACATGCTGCCTGAGTTCTACAAGACTGTCTCGCCCGCGCTCATCGCAAGGTTCAAAGGTCAGTCAGTTGGTCGGTCACATGATATTTTTAGGTGTGTTATATACAGTGAAGTGGAGGTCCATGATCGCCCACGCCAGTCGGCAAGGCACCGGATGATGATGATGATACAATATTTGCTTACATTTCAAATTTTGCTGCTACTAGTATACATTCTACGTAATTTTTTGAGTCCCAATAATTGTTTTTCTAATGGGGTATATTTATCTGGATGAAGCAAAAGTCTTTCTGTGTTCTTTCCGGGCATACAGTACTCTCTCGGGTGAGTTTGTGTGTGTTTGCTTGTTTTTTGTGTGTGTCTGTTTGTCTGTCTGTGCTGGCCCAACACCTCAGCAGCTCAGCGGCTTAGTATTCAGCACCTATATATATGACCTTTTTTTTTTGAATGACTTATTTATGCCGTATTGCTTTTCTTTAAAAAAAATAACTTTCAGAGCGTGAAGAGAATGTGAAGACAGACATCTTCCATGCATACATCGCCCTGCTGAAGCAGACGCGGCCAGTGATTGTGGTGGGTGGAGACAACATGGAGGAGGAGGAAGGGTAAGCTTTTTCTCTCACTCTCTCTCTCTCTCTGTCTTTTTCTCTTCCTTTCCCGTCTTCCCTCTGTCTCTGCCATTTTTTCTCCCCCCCCCCACACACACACACACACACTCACTCTCAACTCTCTTTCAGCTCTTTTACCTTTCTCCCTTCGTCTGTCTCTATTAACGCCCCCCCCCCTCCTCCCATCCAATCCATCCATCACACTCTCATCTCATCTTCTCTCCCCCCACCCATCCATCCATCCATCCATCCATCCACCCATCCGTCCATCCATCACACTCCTCACTCATCATCTCCAACCCCCCCCCCCCCTCAGGCCTCTGAACATGCTCCAGGCCCAGATCCCTGACATAGTTCGCGCCGTGCACCGCCAGCTGCGAGAGAAGAGCATCAAGACTCGCCAGGGCTGCTTCAGTCTGCTCACAGAGCTGGTGCTGGTGCTGCCGGGGGCGCTGGATCAGCACCTCAGCAGCCTCATGCCGGGGATACAGTACTCTCTAGGGTGAGTGTGTCTGTCTGTCTGTTTGTGTGTGTGTGTGTGTGTGTGAGTGGGTGTGTGTGTGTGTCTGGACCAACACCTCAGCAGTCTCATGCCAGGGATACAGTACTCTCTAGGGTGAGTGTGTGTGTGTGTCTGTCTGTGTGTCTGGATCAGCAATCTCTTGCCGGGGATACAGTACTCTCTAGGGTGAGTGGGGTTGTGTGTGTGTGTGTCTGGAAGAAGCGTAAAAGTTTTATGATTTGTGTTCGTTTTGTCATCAAGATGATAGTTATCCTAAATTGTGCTGATGAGAGTAAGAAAAGAACGTGAAAGTTATATGATCAGCGTTCGTTTTGGGGTCAAGACGATAGATATTTTAAAATCGTGCTGATAGGAGAATAAGAAAATTTTTATTATCCATGTTTGTTTTGTCGTTAAATATTTTCAATCGTGCTGATGTAAGAGCATGAAGAAGCATGAAAAGTTTTAAGGTCCATGTTTGCTTGTTGTCAAAATGATATTTCAAATTTTATGATCCCTGTTCATTTTGTGGTGTTTCCAGGGACAAGAACTCCAGCTCCAACATGAAGATCGACACGCTGTCCTTCCTGAGCACGCTACTGGCACACCACAGCAGTGCTGTGTTCCACCCGCACATCAAGGTCCTGGTGCCGGTGAGTGACGCACTTGATGCTTTCACACGCGTGTTTTACACGCTTGTACATTTACACGCTCACACCTCTCTCTGTCTGTTTGTCTGTCTGTCTGTCTCTCTCATTATCTGTTGTTCACGCGTTTACACTCTCATTCATTTCCATGCTCACACACCTCTCTCTCTCTATCTCTCTGTTTCTCTGTCTCTCTTTCTTTCTCTCTCTCTCCCCCCCGCTCCCTCTCTCCCTCTCTTTTACTCTCTCTCTCTCTCATTACATAAAGACATGATTATTATTATGAGCATCCAAACTGTCCTAGAAGCAAACTTCTGTCTTTTTTTCACCATCCAGCGTCCCTCCATCTTAATGTAGACTATAAAGGGCAGAGAGCTTGTTTTTGACTGGGGATATGTGCTATACAAATGCTATTTATTGTCATTATTATTATTATTATTGTTATTATTATTATGATAATAATAATGATTATTATTAATATAATTATTTCTATCTTCTCCTCCCCTCCCTTCCCCTCTTTCCTCTTCCCCCTCCCCTCATCCCCTCTCTTATCCTTTCATATCCCTCCCCTTCCTTCCCCTCTCATCCCCCTTTTTCCTTCCTCCCCTCCTTCCCCCTCCACCTTGGACCTGAACACCCCCTACCCCATCCCCGTCCCCTTCCTTCCCCTCTCTTCATCCCCCTTATTCCTTCCTCCCCTTCCCCTCCTTTTCCGCCTTGCCCTGAACCCCCCCCCCCAACAGCCTGTAGTGAATGCGGTGAGCGACCCGTTCTACAAGATCACCTCGGAGGCTCTGCTGGTTACACAACAGTTGGTCAGGGTCATCAGACCTCTAGGTAAACGCCATCGTGTTCCGTACTCTTGTTGGGGGGTTTGTTCGTTTGGTAAGGTTTTACGGCACTCGCAACATGTTCTTATGCACAATAGAATTGTAAATGGGCTGATTTATCAATGTCATGCTCATACTGTGCCGAACAACATAGGGGGAACTGCTGCTTTTTCTTTCTTCAACCTCACTATCATCTTATTTCCTCTACTTCTTTTGTATGTTTGTCACTCTCTTGTGAACTGCTATTTCCGGGGTGCCTTGATAGTCGAAGTAGACTGTGTGCTGTTGAGGCTAGAGAGGTGAGCAGAGTAAGCTTGATTCCCCGTTTCGACTTCTCTGTTGACATCCACCTCTTTGCGCTCATATGACCTTATGCAGTTGCGAGCGCCGTAAAACTTCTACTATAAAAAAAAAAAGAGTAAGGCGAACACCACCTCCTTCTGTCTCAAATCTTTTGACTTTAAAGATAGATAGGTATTTTTTGTTCATCAAAAGAAAGACAACTTTAAGATGATGCCAATAGCTCAGTACTTGATATGCCCAAAATTAATTTGACGAGTGCCTGATTCCACTGCATTGTGGCACATGTTGCTATGGACAGCCCCACTAACAAAAGACCCCCCAGGGCAGTGCTACTGACTGAAGTGTCTTTAGGTCATTCCCCCCCAGGGCAGTGCTACTGACTGAAGTGTCTTAAGGTCATTCCCCCCAGGGCAGTGCTACTGACTGAAGTGTCTTAAGGTCATTCCCCCCAGGGCAGTGCTACTGACTGAAGTGTCTTAAGGTCATTCCCCCCAGGGCAGTGCTACTGACTGAAGTGTCTTAAGGTCATTCCCCCCAGGGCAGTGCTACTGACTGAAGTGTCTTAAGGTCATTCCCGAAGGGGGAATATTAACATGTTCTTATGCACAGCAGAATTGTAAGTGGGCTGATTTATCTATGTCATGCTCATACTGTGCCGAACAACATAGGGGGAACTGCTGCTTTTTCTTTCCTCATCCTTGCTATGGTCATTTTTCTTCTACTTCTTTTGTATGTTTGTCACTCTCTTGTGAACTATTTCCGGGGTGCCTTGATAGTCGAAGTAAACTTTGTGCTGTTGAGGCTAAAGAGGTGAGCAGAGTAAGTCTGATTCCCCATTTGGACTTCTCTGTTGACATCCACCCCTTGGCGCTCAAAGATGCTGTTGCGAGCGCAGTAAAACCTTACTAAAACAAACATATTGCTATTGACAGCCCCGCTGAAAAAAAGACCGTCACATCTCATTTCTTCTTTGCTCAGATTCCCAGTCATCGTTTGACTACAAGCCGTACGTCAAGAGTCTGTACGCCTGCACGGTGAAGCGGCTGAAGGCGGCCGACATTGACCAGGAGGTGAAGGAGCGTGCCATTGCCTGCATGTGAGTTGAGTGTGTGTCGACCGGGCCGACGTGGGTAGTTGGTGGGTGCCGTGATGTGCGTGTGGTTTGCTTCTTTTTCTTTCCTATCCAACTTCTATCGTCCTTATCTTTCCTCCTCCTTCTTTTTTTGTGTTTGTTAGTCTCTTGTAACACCTCTTATCTTCGGCACTTATTTGACCTTATTATGTTGCACATGCTGTAAAACGTTAACTAAAACAAAACAAAAAATCTCTTCTCCTTCTTTTATTTGTATATTACTCTCCAGTAACACCAGTAATCTTGACACTTGTGTGACCTAAATGTGTAACAAGTGCCGTAAAACTCTTACTGAAATGAGAAAGAAAAACAATCTCTCCTCCTTTTTTTGCACATCATTATCTGGTAACACCTCTAATCTTTGACAATTATGTAACCTAATTGCGTTGCAAGTGCTGTAAAGCTCTTACTAAAAAGAAGAAAAAAAACAGTCTCTCTTCCTTCTTTTATTTGTATATTACTGTCTAGTAGCACTTCTAATCTATGATACTTATGTGACCTAATTGTGTAACAAGTGCCGTAAAACGCTTACTAAAACCAAAACCAAAGACAGTGTGTTTCCTTTCTCGTCCCACCAGGGGTCAGATCGTGGCAAACCTGGGCGACTCGCTGCAGATGGAGCTGAAGGAGTGTCTGCCCATCTTCCTGGAGCGACTCAAGAACGAGATCACCCGACTGACCACGGTTAAGGCTCTCACCCTCGTTGCTCAGTAAGTTTGTGGGTGGGACCTGCGGAGACAAATATTGGTCACTTTCACCGTCCATTGGGACAGTGAAAAACTTATTTTTTTCTGGGTTTTTTTCTGTATATTATTTTGATTTTTTCCCCCCCTGCACTTAAATGACTATGGGGAAATACAGGGGAATAACACTTTTATCAATAGCCATCCTCTGTGCTTTTTATTCTGGGGAGTCCACTGTCAACGTCATGGTATCATTGTTTTATTTTGTTTCTCGTTTCAGATCTCCACTGAAAATTGACATCAGATTCATTCTGGTAAGTTCTAGTCCTGCTACATTTCTGTGCCACTTTGTTCACAAATTTTTCAGTTAGTTCTACGTCGTTGATCACAACAGAATTCTCGATTTTATGAAGGCCATTGGCCTTAACAACAAATTGTAAATACCGTTATTTCAATATTATTTAAATTGTCATTTTTAGATTGAGATTTTTAACCGCGAATATTTAACGTTTTAATCTGATCATTGACCTGAATCAAGCCGTGCTATGAACTGTTGTGAATGCAACCAACTAGTGTTTCGCTCGCTCATATATATAATCATATGCAGTTGCGAGCGTCGTAAAACACTGACTAAATCAAAAATCATTTTTCAGTTTGCGAGCGTCGTAAAAACTGACTAAATCAAAAATCATTGTTCAGTTTGCCAGCGTCGTAAAACACTGACTAAATCAAAAATCATTTTTCACTTTGAGTTTTTAGCAGGGAATTTATGTAACAGCTCTTCCTGACTTCGGTTTCCTTCAACTTTTTTTTTCATAATGTGAATTTGATGTTTTGTATGATTAAACCTGTAGTTCCTCTACCATTTGATGATTTGTCTAGACATTGGGGTATTTGGTAAGTGCACTATGGGTGGTTGGAGGAGCCTTCTGGTATAGATTTTAAAGCGCATAAAGCTTGCTGTTGAACGGGAGTTAGTTCTATACAAATGCTGTGTATTAATATCATTATTATCTTATTATTATTACTATTATAGCTCCTACTTTTTTTCCTTCTTTTATTTTGTTTCTGTCTGTCTTTTTTGCTTTTTCTCAGCTCTAAATGACAAGTATTTTGTGGATGTATTTTCCTTTACTCGAACAAGGAGTGAAGAGTTTCATGATCTCAATCCCCACCCCCTTTTGTCTCATTAACAGGAAGAAGGATTTCCGATCTTGGCCTCATTTCTGCGGAAGAACCAACGTGCGCTCAAACTGAGCACCCTACAATGTCTTGATGTCGTCGTAGAAAATTATGGTATGACATATGTATATATATGTGTATATATATATATATTTATATACATATAGGTTCTTTAGTGTGGTCTGCTCCTTACACTTCTTTGCGTGTGCTTTGGTGTGGTTTGCTCCTTCTTTCCCATCGAACATCTATCGTCCTTATCTCTCCTTCTTTTTGGTGTTTGTTACTCTCTTGTAACACTTTTAATCTTCGGCACTTATATAACCTTATTGTATTGCAAGTGCCGTAAAACTCTTACACCCCCCGGGGCAGTGCCACTGACTGAAGTGTCTTTAGGCCATTCCCAAAAGGGGGACATATCTCGTTCAAGCATAGTAGAATTGTAAATGGGCTGACTCATGTCACGCTCATAAGTGTGCCTGATCTACAACAGGGAACTGCTGCTTTTTCTTTCCTGATCCTTACTATTGTCATTTTCCTCTACTTCTTTTGTATGTTTGTCGCTCTCTTGTGACCTGCTATTTTGGGGTGCCTTGATAGTGGAAGCAGACCTTGTACTGTTGAAGCTAGAGAGGTGAGCAGAGTAAGTCTGATTCCCTGTAAAGACTTCTCTGTTGACATCCACCCCTTGGGGCTCATATGACCTTATGCAGTTGCGAGCACCGTAAAACCCTCTACTATAAAAAAAATAAATTAAAAAAAACTCTTACTAAAACAAAAAACAAAAAGTTCACTTCTGTTAAATCAGGGAACTGGTGTTCTATTTGTTCCATCTATGGACGTGTCCCCCCCGATAAAGATAACATATTTTTTTTACTGTCTGTGTTTTTCAATTTCTTAGGTAACGCGGTGAACAGCAGCATGATAGCAGACGTGATGAAGGAGATGCCTCCGCTCATCAACGAGAATGACCTGCATATCTCACAGGTGGGGATGGTTCCGGGGAGGAGGGGGGGGGGGTTGGTTTCAGGGGGAAAGGGATGAGGGGTTGATGGTTCTGGGTGAAAGTGGGGGAAGGGGAGTGGTGGTCCTGAATGAAAGAGGGGGGGGGGGAAGGGATGTTGCCTTGTCTCGAGGTGCTTTGTGGTTCATAAACCTGATTGTGTGGTTGATTATAAATAATTGAATGGGTTGTTTGTAGTTCATGTATCTGGTCTTTTCTTATGGGTGGTTAGTGGATTATATATAATATGTTCTATGTTTGTATGGGTGGTTGGTGACACATATTATATGGTCTCATGGGTGGTTTTAGAACATTTGTATCTATGCATTTATGTACTGTATGGTGGATCATATACCTGGTCTTATGGTTGTTGGTGAACCATTTATCTGGTCTTGTCTCGTGGATGGTTTTAGAACGTTTGTATCTATGCATTTATGTGCTGTACTTAGGTTTGTATAATATGTTACACCTTTTTAAACCAAATTCCCCCACATGAATCCATAAAAAGTGGAAATTGTATTAATGTTTTGTTTGTTTGTTTGTTTTTTTGTATTGACTTCTGACCTTTGTGTACCCCCCATAGTTGACTTTGAACCTGCTGACGACCATCTCGCGGGGTCACAAGTCGTCCATCGCCAACACGCAGGCGGAGATCCTGCCACAGATCCTGGAGCTGGTCCAGTCACCGCTGCTCCAGGGGGGAGCTCTCAACGCCGTGCTCGAGTTTTTCCGTGCTCTCATCACACTGGGCCTGCCCAAACTGGGCTTCCGGGACCTGCTACAGGTGGGTGGTGGGGTAGGCAGGGTTCCTGCAGCCTCCTTGAAAGGAGTCTTTGATAACTCCTTGAATTTCCATTCAAGTAACCATCTCCTTGATAACTCCTTGAATTTCCATTCAAGTAACCATCTCCTTGATAACTCCTTGAATTTCCATTCAAGTAACCATCTCCTTGATAACTCCTTGAATTTCCATTCAAGTAACCATCTCCTTGAATTTCGCTGGATCGAACATAAATAAAATTTTTGTCGGAAAATTGAAACTAGGATTCCTTTCGGACAAGTGTAGGCCTATCAGAAATAGGCTTTCGGGGTGCTAGTGCGCCGTCGAAAACGATGTGAATTTCTTGACTAAATCTCCTTGGAATTTAAACATTTCTTTCGTGAAACCTCCTTGAATGTGGTGGGGAGTTCATTGCAGGAAGCCTGGGTAGGGAGTGTGGTGAGGTGGGGTGCTGGAGTTTTTCCGCGTGCTCATCGCGCTGGGCCTGCCCAAGTTGGGCTTCCGGGACCTGCTACAGGTGGTGGGGTGTGGTGGTGGGTGTGGTGTGGTGGGGTTTGGTTTGGTTTGGTGGGGTGTGATGTGTTGGGGTGAGGTGTGGTGTGATGGGATGGAGTTTGGTGGGATGTTATAGGGTGAGGTGGGGTGTGGTGCGCTGAGGTACTTTCCTTTTGCTCTGTTGTTTCTATTTGTCTGTTTGTGTTACTCTTTCCCCAGCATTTTTAATGTCTGTTACTGTGTCGATGTGCTCCTCTGTACTCAGAAGATTATACAAGTGCCTGTTTCTTGTTTTCCACAGATGTTGAACATGCCAGTGTATGACCCTCGCAACTCGACCGGACCTATCCACAGACAGGTAAGGATGAATACCGGACATTTTTTTTTTCATTCATTAAGCAAAAATGTGTGTATAGTTTTTGGGATACCCGAATAGACCTAAATAAAAGCCGTGAACATTTATCTATCACTGACAAAATTGAAGACTAGCAAGGCGGGTGGTTGGAGGGCACCACTAGTAGGTCCTACTTCTTTACTTCCCCCCTGTCAGCGTAACCATGTAAAAAAAAGGCATTGTTCTGAAACTTGAGTTTGAATTTATTCAGAAAGCTAATCATGGTTTCACTTTGATTTTTTCCACACAAGTAGGGTAACTGATCAGGCTTTCGATTCAGTTAACTAGTAACACACCTAATCTTCAGCACTCATATGACCTATCTTTGTTGCAATAGTGCTGTGTTATAAAATAACTAGACCATCAAACGTGTGTCTGTCTCTGTGTATGTCCGGAGCTGGCATATCATTCTATCACCCGCTGCATGTTTTTTTGTATGTTGCTCCCTAGTAACACACCTAATCTTCAGCACTTATGTGACCTATTTGTGTTGCAGTAGTGTTGTAAATGCTATAAAATAAGTAAAACGTCCAACGTGTGTCTGTGTCTACCTCTCGTACAGGCGTACCATTCCATCGCCCGCTGCGTGGCCGCCCTGACGGAGATGAGCCCCCTGGAGGCCTCCAAGGTCGTGAGCCAGTTCGTCAGCGACATCAAGAACCCTAAGTCCACGGAGCACATCGTCCTCTTCGCCCTGCTGGCCCTCGGAGAGATCGGGAAGAACATGTGAGTGGAGAGCCCCGACGATTTTTTGGAAAATATGTTTTCTTTAATTAAAAATATTTTTTTTATCAGGCCTTTATTTTTTATTTATTTAATTTTGTTATATCAATTTTTGAAAATTTGATGAGCATTTGAGTTGGGAATCCCACGTTTTAAAGAAACGTTTCTTTCTTTCCCTGTTTCCAGTGGTCTTTGTTTTGTTGGCTCACCTTTTAAAAAAAACACTTAATCATTGCTTTAAGTTGAATTTTCTATCGCTGTGAACAGGATTTTAAAAAATGTAAGAACATGTGATTTGTGCTTCTAGCTTTTCAGAGAAATTCTGTCTTTAAAATTTAAGTTTTAAAATCTCTTTTTTCGTTCTCTTCCCGTCATCAGCGATCTGAGCTCCCACGGAGACATCCAGAATGTCATCCTAGAGTGCTTCTCCTCCACCAATGAGGAGGTCAAGTCAGCAGCTTCTTACGCCCTAGGTAGGTCATGTGATCTCTGCTCCACTGCCGTACACTGACAAAACGCTTTTTTCTTATACACAGCAGTTTTCAGTTAAAAGGCATTTTGTCAGCGCAACCATTTAAGAAAAAGATGTTCTTCCGAAATTTGAATGCTAATTAAATTTTTTAAAAACTAGTCACAGTTTCACTTTGATTTTTTTAACGCAAGTAGCCATCCGTCTTGTTTATTTCCATCACTTGCTGACCGTTATTGTGTTGACGTGTTTCTCATTACTCAAATTTATTTTGTTTATTTATTTATTTATTTATTGAGCTTTGATATCTCTAAGTGACGACTGCATTGATACTCCTACTTAGAGTGGGTGGTTGGCGGGTGCTCTGGTGTGGTTTGCTCCTTCTTTCCTATCAAACATCTCTATTGTCTTTATCTCCCCTCCTTCTTTTTTGTGTTTGTTACTCTCTTGTAACTCCTCTAATCTTCGGCTCTTATGTATGACCTTATTGTGTTGCAAAAGCCGTAAAACTTACTAAAACTAAACTATACACCTACCCAGTCAAATTTGATATTTTGAGTTATTGTAAGTGATGAGTCAAATAAATGTTTTATCTGATGAGCTTTGTTCTCTGTCTGTGCCAGGTAATGTGAGCGTGGGCAACCTGCCAAAGTTCCTGCCCTTCGTCCTCCAGGAGATTGAGAGTCAGCCAAAGAGGCAATACCTGTTGCTGCACTCCCTCAAAGAGGTCAGTGTCCTGCTCTAGATGTTCCCATGACGCACAGTCATACACACACACACACACACACCTACGGACACACACGCGCACACACACACACACACACACACACACACACACACTCACACCTACGGACACACACGCGCGCACACACACACACACACACACACACACACACACTCACACACGGACACACACCTACGCACACACACACACACTCACACACACACGCGCGCGCGCGCACACTCTCACACTCACACACTCGTACACACACACACACACACACACACACACACACACACACACACACACACATGCAGCGTACCCACACACTCTAGCTAAAGTCTGCTAGAAACATTCACCAAACCGAAACATTGTTTTGTCACAGTGCAGCAGGACTGTGCTTTATTTATTTCCTGTTATATTTCTGTTTGTGTCTTGTTGTCATCCTGTACCAAATGTCTGTGGGTGGTTGGCGGGCACCTCTTTAGTGTGGTCTGATCCTTCTTTCCTGTCAAAAGTCTACCGTCTTTATCCTTTTTTGTTGTTTGTTACTCTCTTGTAACACCACTTATCTTTGGCACTTATGTGACCTTATTGTGTTTCAAGTTTTATAAAACTCTTACTGAAAAACCCCCACTAAACCAAATGGAATGAGTTTTAACAAAAATACGATTTTTCCTTTGACCTTTATAGCCTGTACTATCAGAATACCATATGAATACTATCAGAATACTGCTTACTTGTATATCTATCACAAACATTATTATTGTTAACCACAGTTCATTTATGATTTATTATGTGACTGGATTTTTTTTTTGTGAGTGCAAGCACATATTATATGTGTGTGTAATATGTGTGTGGAAGAGAAAATGTTGTAGGGAATATGTGTGTGTGTTTGTGTGTATGTGTGTGTGTGTGCATGTTTGAGAAACACCAAACCAGTGTCTAGACAACAATGATTAATCTTAGCTCGTCTTATTTCATCGTACCTCGACATCGCCCCTACCTTTTTTTTTTTATCTTCAGATCATCAACTGTGAGTCCAGCTCCCCCGGAGGCCTGGAGATTTTGAAGTCTTACGTCAAGACCATTTGGTGAGTTACCGAAGAATTGGTTGTTGTTGTGGTGGTTGTTTTGTCTATGAGTGGGTGGTTGGAGTATGTCAAGACCCTTTGGTGAGTTACCGAAGAATAAGTTGTTGGTGTGTTCCTAGTATTGTCTATAAGTGGGTATTTGGAGATTTTGAAGTCTTATGTCAAGTTTACATGAATTTCCCATTTGGCTCGTTTCTTTCGGAGATGAGTTGTTGGCAGGTGCTCTGGTATGGTTTGCTCCTTCTTTTCTATCGAACATATCATCTCTCGTCCTTCTTTTTTGCGTATGTTACTCTTTTGTCTTGTAACACATCTGTTCTTCAGCACTTATATGACCTTATTGTGTTCCAGGTTCGGTGAAATTTTTTATTAAAACTAAAACAAACCTATATCATTTCATCATTTTTTAAAAAACTTCTCTTTACTCAAACCTTCTTCCCCTCCTTCCCCCTCCCGTCCCCCTCCTCCTCTCCGCCCCTCCTCTCCCTCCCCCTTCTGTCCTTCCCTTCCCTTCCCCCCCCCTCCCCTCCTCCTCTCCCTCCCCTCCTCCACAGGCAAATGCTGTTCCACAACTGCGAGTGCCCGGAGGAGGGCACGCGTAACGTGGTGTCGGAGTGCATGGGCAAGCTGACCCTGGTTGACCCGCAGAACCTGATCAACAGCCTGCGGAAACACCTCAACGACCCCTCCCCCCTGGCCCGCAGCACCGTCGTCACAGCCATCAAGTTCACCATATCAGACCAGGTGAGAGCAGACAGGCGGATGGTTTGTGTTGAGTTCTGTCTGATGTAACCTTTTGTTTAAAAATTCGCATATAAATGAGAGCTCGTTTCTTGTGTCCAAGGATAATTGGGTGAATTAATGAGTGGGATGGTAGTATTGAATTCCGACTCGAAATTTAAAAAAAAAAATATTTGTGAATAAATTAGGGCTTTTTTAATAAAGTCTCTGTGATTTAACGAGCGAATAAATCAATCACTTCCTGTATGTGTCGGGCTGTGGCTGGGCACAGGTTTACTGTTACATTGCAAAGGTTCATTTATTATTTGCAGAGAGGGAGGGAGGGGGGTGGAGGGAGGGAGGGGGGGGGGATAAATAAAGTGCCACTTTGCTGTTGGAAAAACCTTAGACTTTAGAAATGTCAAAGCCAGTTTACGAATTTTGAAAGCAGATTACTAAATTTATATTTTTTGATTACTCAAACATATGCCGGGGGGGCGGGCAGCCCTGGGAATATGCGCAGCTTGCAGGTTTCTTTCTCTTACACACCTAGATATAACTCCAAAGGTCTTGTATTTAAATTCCTGCTTGTGGTTGAATGATGCCTTTGATGTGAATGTACATTTTGTCAGCTTTACTTCTCTTTTCATATTGAATTTTAATGAGAGTAATATATAATTTAAATTTTGTATGTATACCTGCATGTGTTTTTACGGTCCTGTACAGCCAAGAAAAATTTCCCTCTGGGATAATAAAGTATTATCTTATCTTATCTTATCTTATCATCATCATCATCATCATCATCAAGTGCCAGATCTGAGGCAGACATCGACGATCATGGTTCTCCATTCATTCCTTTACTCGGATGCTCTTATAAAAGCTTCGTTACCTTGATCTTTCCTCGTTACCCATCTGTTTAGGTTCTCTAAGTAGGTTGCTCTGGGCCTACCCCTGCCTCGTTTGTCTTCAATTTTGCCAGTGCGAGCTAGCTAGATGGTCAAGACCTTTATGTCTATTCAGGTGTCCCAAAAACTGCATTTGTCTTTTCCTGATTGTTTTTAACACTGAGTATCCCAACGTGGGCTTCATCAAGTACTACGCCATTTGATTTCTTTTCCTTCCATGATATTCTCAGTAGTCTTCTAAGAAACCACATCATATACACCATATTAACCCTATATATCTCTTCCCCTCCCCTATATATCTCTTCCCCTCCCCCGCTACCCCGCGCCCCGCTACCCACTACCTACCTCCCACAGCCTCAGCCAATAGACCCCCTCCTGAAGATGTGCATCGGCGACTTCCTGCGCACCCTGCAAGACACAGACCTGACGGTACGCCGTGTGGCCTTGGTGACCTTCAACTCAGCGGCTCACAATAAACCCTCGCTGATCCGCGACCTTCTGGAGACCGTGCTGCCTCATCTGTACAACGAGACCAAAGTCAGGGTGAGTAAAAGCATTTGCAGTTGTTGTTGTTATCAATCCAGCAACAGCTTGGCTCTCGTCCTTCTGTCCAGAGCCATGTAGTGATTAGTGCAGGTTTGCTGGAGTTGCTGTAATGTTCCATAGAGTGTGTTGTCAGTGTTAGGTCTATGAGAAAGAAGTGTGTAAGAACAAAAGTTTGCATTAAGCTTGATAGATTCTATCATCTTTCTATTTTTAATTGTTTTTAGTCGCGGTTGGTTTACCGAGGATTGGCAGGACAGTAGCCTCATTTTGACACCCATCTATACTCCGAACTTTGATTGTGTTCACCCCGTACCTCTGAGAACAATGAATGTTTTTTTGTTTTCCCTGTCCCCAGAAAGAGTTGATCCGAGAGGTGGAGATGGGACCCTTCAAGCACACCCTGGATGACGGACTGGACATCAGGAAGGTAAACTGTTTGCTGAAGTCTAACTGTCGTTACTGTGTGTCAGTGTGCTTCTCAGTAAACTCTTGGATGAGCTCTGTCCGTCAGTGTGTGTCAATGTGCTTCACAGTAAACTCTTTGATGAGCTCTGACCGTCGTTATATGTCAATGTGCTTCTCATTAAACTCTTTGATGAAGTCTAACCGTCGTTACTATGTTAATGTGCTTCACAGTAAACTCTTGGATGAGCTCTGACAGTCCGCTACCTCAGAGATATTAAGTTCTGACATTTTAGGCCAATTTGAGGGACGTTTAAGCTATACCATTTCAATTTTTCATTCTTTTATGTGCAGATGGTTTGCAGGTACTCTGGTGTGGTTTGCTTGTTCTTTCCTATCAACATCTGTCATCCTTATCTCTCCTCCCCTTTTTTGTGTTTGTTACTCTCTTGTAACACTTCTAATCTTTGGCACTTATATGACCTTATTGTGTTGCACGTGCGGTAAAACTCTTACTAAAACTAAAACTAAACTTGGAGGTCCCGCCTCTTTAAAAAACCCCTAATAGCGTTGATTATGAGGGCGTTAAACCTGTACCATTTTCCCATTTTCATTAATTTATTTTTGCTTCATCCCATCCCCCCCCCCCCTCCCCTCTTCTTCCCCCCTCCCTCATCTTTCCCATATGTCCAGGCTGCGTTTGAGTGCATGTACACGCTGCTGGACTCGTGCCTGGACCGCCTGGACATCTTTGAGTTCCTGAACCACGTGGAGGATGGGCTCAAGGACCACTACGACATCAAGATGTTGACCTACCTCATGCTGGTCAGACTGTCGCACCTGTGTCCGTCCGCTGTGTTGCAACGTGAGTACACACACACACACATGTACATGCGCGCCCCCGTGTGCACACGCTACTTTATTCTTCATCCTCATTGCCTTTCTCACCCTGAGTCAGGATATAGGCCACGAGCAAACACTCTCCACCTTTCCCTATCCTGGGTGAGTCGCTTGATGTCACTCCACGTCTTCCCACTTTTCTGTACATCCATTTCTGTGGCTCTTCTCCAGGTTCCACGTGGCATCATCATTGCTTTTCTCACCCTGGGTCAGGATATAGGCCACGAACAAACACCTTTCACCTTTTCCTATCCTGGGTTAGTGACTTAATGTCATTCCATGTCTTCCCGCTTTTCTGTGCATCCTTTTCCGTGACTCTTCTCCAGGTTCCACATGGTCTTCCTCTTGATCTTTTACCCTGTGATCTTTTACCCTGATTTTGGAAAATAACCCACCTGAATTTCCCCAACTTGAATATTTAAACCAATGACTATTGGACAAAGACTGGTGATGATGATGAGATTGGTGGTTGGCGGGTGCTCTGGTGGGCTTTTTCTTCTGCTTTCCTATCAAACCTCCATTGTCTTTATCTCCCCTCCTTCTTTTTTGTGTTTATTACTCTCTTGTAACACATCTAATCTTTGACACTTAAATGACCGTATTGTGTTGCAAGTACCGTAAAACTCTTACTAAAGCTAAACCTCGGCATTTATATGACCTTATTGTTTTGCAAGTGCCATAAAACACTAAAACAAAAAGACCATGATAATGATGTTTTTTCTCGGTGTGTGTGTTTGTCGGCGACAGGTCTGGACCGTCTAGTGGAGCCGATCCGCGCGACCTGCACCACCAAGGTCAAGGCCCACTCGGTGAAGCAGGAGTACGAGAAACAAGAGGAGCTGAAGAGGTCGGCGTTGAGGGCAGTGGTGGCTCTGCTCAACATCTCTGACGCTGGTGAGATGGCTGGATGTGTGTGTGTGTGTGATTGTGAGGGTTTGTGTGTGTGTGTGATTGTGAGGGTTTGTTAACTCTTCTGCATGATGCCATTCGGTAATAGTTGCATGTTTGTTCTAATTGTTGTCTTGAGGAGTAGAGGCAATTAGATGTGTGGGGTAGCT